GCACAAACGGACGGCTACTTTACGCACCCAGCTAGTATACCCAGAGGATAGGGACGGCTACCTCAACAAAAAGGTAGTATGAAAACACGCAAAGCTTTTGATAGCAAATTTTGTGAGCAAACCGGAAGATCCGTCTATACACACATCCACTAGCACCAATTGACAGTGAAGAGATGTGACATTTGTCTGGGGTGGCTATGAATTACCTTGACACAGGACACACCTTTGCTTGGGACAAAACACACATCGGCGGAGTTTGCCCCTCCAAAAGGGCCTATAATGAGGGCATGCACTCTGATGATTCTAGCATCAACCGACGTATCGTCTTACGTGAAGTGTACAAACATCTCAAAGAAAAATGGAAGAGAATACAGCCAGTCACTACGGACGAATTGGAAGTGCAATTAGCGACCACAACGGATAACCCTAACTGACCCCGAGCCGTCGCAAATTAAAATTCCTAATTAGTAATTACGCTTTGGCAACTAGTGATTTTGTCTACAGCGTAATGACGAAAATTGCAACTGCTACTTAGTGCCAACACTAGACGATTATATAAATGTACCAGCACTTTTGAAATGCTTATTTGTCCTTTCTCACCTTCTCAAATCTGACGACGACCTGGGAAACCAATTTTCGAAAATTTACTCAATAAATCTTCCTCATTCTCCCAAAGAACGTCTGTGCCTGAAATGACATTTCTTGGAATGCCCGCCTTCTAATTTATATGAAGCATTTTTATCTATTTTCTCGTCGATTTTAAATGATTTTGACCCTGATAATTTTTTTTCTGGTTCAGCTGAAGATCGTTAGGTGGGTACGCGTTTTAAGGAAAACACGATGATGCCCACAGCAGTAAAATACATGCGTACGAGGGCAATAACTTATCTATAACATGACATGCGGTAACTTTAAATATTTCCAACAGGAAGCGAGACAACTTAACTTTACTGAACTCTTACTACGACGGTTTGGAAGCCTCATTAGTCTCGGCTGTAACAAAGACCATTATTCATGCTGCCTCTGTGATCCATACTAATTTAGGAAAGATATGTGGACAGAATACGCAAAGATTAAATTTAAAAAAGGTTAAATTGAGACTGTAAGATCATATAAGTTCCTGGCTTAGGGATGCAGGCAGGAATCTTTTATTTGTAATTTTAGGGATTTATAAATACATAGCATTTCAAAATGTTTTTCGTTAAATTGCATCGCGATAGATGATTTCGGCAAGCATTACTGAAAAAAGAACGAGGTCGGAATTAAAAGCCTCGGGGGGTTGTCTACGAAATTCTAGAATAAGACAGTTCTATGTTAATAAACTCAATAAGCCTAAAATATAAGTCAGGGAAAGCGTATATGGAAACTCCTGGCCATTGTTGACAAAAATGAGAACTGACAAAGAACTGGATGTGCATTTCACTCAAACAACCCGAAAAGCGAATACGTTAGATTGCAGTTATAGTAGAGAAAACACTTTTTGAAGGTATGAAACCAAACGACAGAAAAGTGTTCACTAGCAGAGAGTTATTGTGTGTGTGACAGACGCTCCCAGGAGTGGTTTCATTTACCCATCTTTAGGGAATCGAGGTCGCCAATTAGCTTTACGGCCAACGTGTATTAGCGTGAAACAAGCCACACCGAGGCGCGACGCACGCGTGGGGCCGAAACAAACACAAACACCAGAGCGGCAGAGGGGATGGGGCAACGAGGAGTTCGATCCCGGAGACACAAGCAACAGTGTGAGATAAGGCCCCACACCGTGGGCCCGCTTCGATTGGTAGAATACACTTACAAAAAGGAACGGCACATAACGAGAACCATGAGCCGGTGTATACATTCTTTGAAAATGGGTAGACAAAACATTCCTCAGGATGTCGTAATGGCGGAATCCCTTGATGTTTTTGAGCGAATATTGGATCGATTTGGCGGTGCGCGCTAAATTAGGACTGACCGCGCCGACTATTTACAATCACAATACTACTTGCTATATTTCACTAACATTGCTATATGCT